AACACACACACAAGCATACGTTGCTGGTCTGGTAATAGCCAGTTTTAGATCAGAGCATACTTTGGGATGTTGCTGTGTCACAGTTCAGCTTCTTTCTGCCGACTTTGTCCACAGCTGGCGGCGTATCGGTCAGTGGGCCCTGTCGCTGTTTATTTTCAGCTGCTGCCGGCCGCACTCAATGACCTGCCGTCCTCTTAGCCAGTGGAAGGCACTGATGGTAATACAGGCATTCACTGGACGGTTGCTCAGCATTAGGGTTGTGTTACTAGGTTGTCACACTCGCTGCTGCCCCACCATTGAGTCAGGTGGGTTACACGCGCGTTTGGGGTGGCAGTGTATGATGCGGCCGTAGCTAGAGGCCTGACAGGAGCCGATGGGGCTGAAGTGTGCTGGCTGAGTTTTGAAACAAGCCGAAAAGTGCGCCGCCAGGGCCACTAAAATTAGTGGGGTTTCCAATTGGCCGCGTCATTTAGCCGCCAGTGGTCGTTAGTGACTGAGCCCGTTGGTTCCCATCCACAAGGGATACACTTGTACGCGTCTGAGATGCCACAAGCTCAACTGTGCTAGTGCCTCCATTCGCTAAACGGCCTAACTTGCCGTGGTCGACGCAAAGCCCAAAGGCGCGCCAATTGGTCTGCCGGGTCTGCCCTGTATATAGCCGCCTCAGTCTGCCGGCCACTCTTCACTCTCCCTGGTTGTTTACGGTTGACGTGTTGTTCGTTTCCTTTTTTTCTTTAGTGTACAGGCTCAGAGACGCAAGGGTTAAAGCATTGTTATATTAGGCCCTGTCAAAGCACTTATGACTGTTAATGACACCATTATTGTTTTATAATTTCATGACTTTTTTCCACGACCAGACCTATTTCTACTAGCGAGGCACGATAAAGCTATTACTTTGGCAGCAGTACCTATTTTTGGTCGTCTGGCTTAATTTATATTAGGCCTTTGACGTCGCGTGGGGTTTTATACCGCTTACAACTTCTTTGCGCTTCCCAGACTTGAACACCACATCCCCTGATTGTGGTCAGTATGCGGGTATCGCAGGTGGCAGCTGGAGGCTGCGTCGCAGGGCTAGCCCTAGCAGTGGGTATGGTCCAGGGCTTTAAAGGTGCAGCTGGCCCTACGGATGCGCTGTTCTCGCCATTCGACCTCTCTTATCCAGGGCCACATCACTCGCCCGTGTCCAAATTCCCTTACTACGAAAAGGCCCTGCCCAAGGTGCCCTCAGTGCGACCACCAGCCAAATCAAAGGCGACGGGCCTTCGCCAAACAGCCAAGGCCGTTGGTAGCGAGGCACCTCCTGTGCCGCCCAAAGACCGCCCGACAGTAGCAGTGAGCCCCAGCGAACCGGATAGCGATGCCTGGATCTTATCGGACGATACTGTTGTCGGTGACGATGAATCCGTGCGCTCGTTGGCATTGACTGACACTGATGCCGAAACCCGGTCTTTGGCTGGTGATAGCATTCGGTCCCATAGTGAGGAAGAACGTAACCATGCATCGGCACCGGCAAAACCCGAATCGAAGTCGGAGTCATCTACGTGGTCGTCGTCCTTCAAGACCCTGCGAAACAAGCTGTCCCTCGGTAACCTCAAAGGTGCTGCCACCAATGCGTTGGAGTACTTGGGCCTTCCGGGCACCAAGGAAGGGCTGTGGACCCTTGCTTTTGGTGACCGTGCTCGGGCGACAACTCATCCAGTGCAACCAACACCCCAAAGTACTGCGGCCCACGCCCCAATGGCCGAGGCCAAGTACAACGTTGACTACATTTACGTTTTTGGCGACAGCTTATCGGATACCGGCAACTTGTTTAAGGAGCTGCAAGGAGTCTACCCGCCGCCTGAATACTACACCGATCACAAGGGGACTGTGGGACGTTTCACCAATGGCAAAGCCTGGCCCGATCACCTGCAGGATGCGTTGCACCCAAACGTTCAAGTGGTGTCTTACGCGCACGGTGGCGCCACGACCGGCAGCAACGGCGGGTCCAGCCATGTGATGGTTGATGGCCAGCACTGCCAATCGGTTGACGTCAACACTCAGGTGAGCGAGTTTTTGGCCCAGTTCGACCCCCAGCAAGGCCCACGCACGGCCGCCATCTTATGGGCGGGTAGCAACGACGTTATGCACAAATCCAAATCAGACAAAGGCCGTGACCCACGCAAGTTGGGCCATACGTTGACAGAGACCTTGGCAAATTTGGAAACCATAATCAGACGCCTGGATGAGGCGGGCGTTAAGCACATCATCGTGTTCAATCTGCCCAATGTGAGCCAAACCCCTGCCCTGACGCAACGGCTGGTTACAAAGAAGCAGAAGATCCAGGACCGCTTCGCTCGCCAAAAGACGCAGACTAAAACTCAAGTGTCTGGCGCTGCCAGTGACGCGGACATTGAAGACAATCTCGACGCTTCGTTTAATAGTGATGATGAATATGCGTGGCCCGAAGAGGTTGCTTCGCACAGCCCCAGCTTCCAGAAGCTAAACCGCCGTCAGCCATTGCCGCGATTCAACCGCCTGTTCGGTGGATCAAATTTGCAAAACTCTAACCAAGACACCGCCCCATTGCTGTACTATCAGGCCTTTAATGAAGGTGATGAAGCCTATGATGCCGATGACGAGGCGGAAGCCAAGCCCAAGGGGTCGCTCAAGAGCCGAACCAAAAAGCTGCTCACCAAGACCAAGCCAAAGCTCGATAATTCAGTTACCAAGGTGAAATCTGCGCTTACGGACACTGTCAACAAGGTGGCAGCGGGAGCCGCGGGGAAACTCATGGATGTCACTTACCAGGGCATAAAGTGGATGGTCGAGCGCGAGATCAATGTCTTCAATAGAGCGCTCGTCCAACGCATCAACAGTTACAACCAGCGCTACCCAAGAGATGCACCGATCCAGGTATATGATGTCAATGGACTGTTTAACTGGCTGCTCAGCACCGATATGGACGCCACTACTCCGTGCCTGGAAACGAGCGACACGGGCAGCATTATTGGAGTCTGTGATAACCCTGACAACAGGGTCTTTTTTGACCAAGTGCACATGACCGAAGCGGCCCACAAGCAGTTGGCCGCCAACGTGCAGACCGCGATGGAGCAATGGAACGCGTTGTAGCAAGTTTGGTATACGGCGCACAGGACTCGTGGCATTATTTATAGTGTCCGGGGCGTTGTTAGGTTTCGAGTTTAACATTGCGTTTGGTGTAATAAAGTCGACCTAATACAAGGCGTGTCACAGTCCACAAAGACGGATTTTATTTCTCATCATGGGCAAGGTGAGCGAATGAGAGGAAAAGAGAGACGTATTTTATATGATATGGGCCCTGGTAGCCATGCTATAATTACTGAGCAATGGTATACAACGCCAACGATGCTCGCATTTGACGGCCTTGAAAACAAAAAGCACATGTAGCAATCGCATACTACAGCTTCACTCCAATCGCGGTCTGTGAGGTTCCGCAAACTGATTGTCAAAAAGAAAAATAACCGCAGCCAAGTAATCGTCCTTGTCACCAGTAACGTATTCTCTAC